TCAGGAGCTTTAAAAAAAAAATGCCCCGCTGATAGGGATCCAGGGCTCCAGCTTCTGCACCTGCCCTGCACCCAGATCAGTCCAGCTCAGCAGCCAGCCTTCCACCTGGGAGGCTCGGGTCACTGCCTGCAGCAGACCCACAAGGTTGGACAAGCTGTCCGGCACCCTGAGCAAGCAAACAGCAGTCCCCTGCCTCCCAGTTGCCTGAAGCTGAGCCTCGCTTCCTGCCTCCTGTTCTCGCCCAAGGCCACCAGAGCCCCCTCCAGCTGAGCTGCTCATTAAGAGTCATTTCCCTTTCTGACTCTGAGGTTGTAACATCTTGCATCAGTGCCTTTTCTTTGGATCTTCCCAAAGCCCCCAAGGTCTGCCCACCAAGGGACAGCGATTGCTCCCCCCTTTCAGCATTAGCAGTATACTAGGAAAATGCTGTCACCCTGACTGTAGCTTCCAGCTGCGGGAACCATGGGGCCGTGCTGGTTATGCAGCATTTGTAGGCCTCTTCAAGCCCAACCTCAAAAGTCAGAGGGCCTGTGATCACCCAGTCAAATGGTGCTAGAGACCTAGTAGCTCCAGAGCTTCCAGATGAGGGCACCACTCACATCTGACCTGCACTCCCCGCCACACACACACACACACACACTTTGAAAATGCAAAAAAAAAAAAAAAAAAAAAAAAATTCTAAACGGGTAGATTCTTGAATTTGCATATGAAAATCAAAATTTCTGGACCATAACTTGACATTTGATTGCTTTGATGAGAAAAAAAAAGAATGTTCCTTTTACTCATACGGGGAAGGAAATATGTATCCAATTGCTCTTCCCTCCCTGTGATGTACAACACCAAAGAAAATCATATAGGAGTCCTTGCAGCTCTTGAACAGAGGCAGCACATGGTAAATGTCAGTTACAGGGATGCCAGTTCCTCCAGATCCTGCTACTTTCATTTAAAGTATCACTTTGGTACTCAATGGCCAACTTTCCAGACAGAATTTAACCTTGAACCATTTCTGACTAGGCTGGAACGGAAATATAGATGTTCCTCAACTTTGGATGGAGGACTTCTTTTTTTTTTTTTTTTTTTTTCAAATTTTAAAATTTTTTATTCAACATTGTACACTTGTCTCAATTTGATCTACATATCTCTTGGGTTTTTTATTCTGATAAAATAAGTAAATCTGAGTATGGTTGTAAAGTGTTTGTAATTTTTATTTTTAAAACACTGAACATTAAGACATCAGTAAAGGAAGATCATTATGTGACACTTCCTCAGAATCCATGACATCCAAAACAGCTATAGCAAATACCTACGCATTTAAGTAAAAGGGTAAATTTCTGGTCACTGTTCTTTGATCTAAAGACCTATCTTTTTTCGTCGGGTAAAACATTGAAAAAACTCTCTGAGGAGGAAGGGAAAAATATCTAAAGTAACTGTAACCAACTAATTATCCTTTCCCCCAAATTAAGAGGTAACTCACCTCCTAAGTGCCTGCACACATCAAAAATCACTTTGCTCCTCCAACATGTTGTATGGATGGAGGACTTCTGCCCTGATCAAAGTGCTACCATGTGTATGACGAGCTTTGGAGACAAGTAAACCTGAGTTTCGCCTGACCTATCACTTAGTAGTGGTTAGACCATAGGCCATAAATTTCCCAACCCCCAGGTTTATCATCTGCAAAAGAGGAGTAAGAATACTACCTCACAGGGTTGTTGTGACATTTAAAAAAGACACCGAAGGCACAGGTTCCTATCACAATGTCTGCTAATCAGTAGCTCCTTATAATTGTGTTTTGGATCTCCAAATTAAAGAATAGAAAGGGGCAGTGCAAGAATCACGGGAGGGCATGGGAGAATAGTAGAGGATTATTAATAGGAGAGTGATGTTCATTCACATGTGAATGAATATGCCAAAACAAAACCCACTATGCTATATAACTAATATACACATAATTTTTTTTTATTTAAAAAGGCTCTCTTAGGGCTGGGGAGATGGCTCAGTAAAATAAGTGCTTGCCTGGCAAGCGTAAGGTCCTGAGTTCAATCACAGGTACTAAAAAAAAAAAAAAAAAGCACACACTAAAAAGGCTATATTCTAGGCAAAAGCCATCGGAAATCCTAGTGGATTCAATCATTAAGCTAGTCAATAAATGTTCACTTAAGTCCCCACCCTGTACCATGTTCTGTTAGGCTGTAGGGTTATAGAAATGGAAGCACCGTCCAGATGGGTAAGTAGATGTCCCCATGAGTACCTTCTCAGTTCCCAGCTCCAGTGCAGGAGCACAGACCTGAGAAGGCTCCGCTGACGGACTGGGGTTGAGAGCCAGCTGGACAGACCATCATCCAGGCAAGGCCTCTGCATTGCTGAGCAATCAGGAGAAACAGACTTGTGCAAATGGATTCATCCCCACGCAGTGTGGCCCCATATGGTTGGAGGTGTCAGTGCTAGGATTCTATTTCATCCTTAACTTCGATCCAGTGTCCCTACCATCTCTCTTTCTGCTCCCATATTTTAAAGCCTCAGATTGGCAGAAGAGGATAAACTTTTAGAAAATCCATGTGCCTACTGTTGAATAAAGTGGTAGCACTAAAACCTCTTTCTAAAGAACCAGACCTGGAATCAAAATCAAAAGGACTGGGGATGTAGCTCCATGGTAGAGTACCTCTGGGTTCATCCCCAGTAAATATACACACATATACACACACATGCATGCATGCACGCACACACACACACCCCAAACTGAAACTCTACACCCACTAAACAACATTCCTCATTTCCCCAGGCCTTGGCAGCCACCATCCTACATTCTAGTTCCATGAATTTGACTACTGGAGGTACCTCATATAGTTGGAATCGCACAGTATTTGTTCTTTGTATTGGCTTGTTTCATTTAGCATAATATCATTGAGGTTCCTGTTGCAGTGTGTGGCAGAATTTTCTTCCTGCTTCTTTTTTTATACAACTGGAGATTGAACTCAGGGGTGCTCTATCACTGGAACACATACCCAGCCCTTTCTTGTGTTTTGATCTAAGTTACCCAGCCTGGCCTCAAACTTGCAAAACTCCAGCCTCAGCTTCTCAAGTAATAATGACTACAGGAGTGCCTTCGCCATGCCTAGCCCAGAATTTCCTTCCATATTAAGGTTGAATAATTTTCCATTAGAAGGATATACATTTTGTTTATCTATTCCATCCGTTGATGGACACTTGGTTGCTTCCACCTCATTATTTGTGATTTCAAACAACATTGCTATGAACCCAGGTGTACAGTAGCTCTTTTAAGGTCCTGCTTTAAATTCTTTTCAGAGCCAATGAGTTGGTACATGTCTGTAATCTCAGCTCTTGGGAAGCTGAGGCAGGATGGCTGTGAGTTAGAAGCCAGCCTGGCCTACAAAATGAATTCAAGGCCAGCCTGAACCTCCTCATAGCAAGAGCCTGTCACAACATATATATATTTAGTATATATACCTACAGACGGAATTGCTGGATTGTAGAATAATTGTGTTTTTAATTTTCCTAGGAATCAACATATTGTTTTACAGAATGTACATTAATTTATATTCCCTCCAATAGGGCACAAGGATGTTCAGTTCTCTACATTTTGGTCAGTACATGTTATTTTTAAAAGGTTTTGTTTGCTTGCTTGCTTCATCGTCCTAATGGGTGTGAGACAGAATCTTACTGTAGTCTTAGTTTGCATTTTGCTCATAAATAATGACATTGAATTTCTTTCTCTTTTTTTTTTTGGGTGCTTATTTGGCCATTTATTTTCTTTTTTTGAGAAACATTTATTTAAGTCTTTTGCCCATTTTTCATCAAGTTTACTTTTTACTGTTGTGTTGCCAGGGCTCTCTACATTTATTCTAGATATTAACCCAACAGTGCTAGGTGACCAACCCATGTTTAAAGTTCACCATATTCAAAGATGTACTGTATTCCCAAGAATCTTTAAGCCTATTTTTCCACATAATTGAAGACTTAAAAAGAAACATAAAAGTACATTTAATTTGTAAAAGTATTAACAAAGGGTAAATAAGTTTAAATGTTAATCATAGACTTTAAAAGTCTGTGTTAAAATTTACTGTATTTATAAATAGACTAACAACATGCGCAAGTCAAAATTTAAAACATAATAAAGAATGAACCTAAGTTATAAGTTAAAAAAAATCATACATTAACTTAAAAAATCAAAATAGATCATATCTTCTCTGGGCTCCAAACACTTTTGAGCCTCAGATAGGGTCGGTTGCTTGCCCACAGTTCAAAGGTCTCAAAATCCAGAACTAAAACTCACTCATAGTGCTCCCCAAGAAAGTCTAGATTTGTGCTACAAATCATTTTAGAAGTACTACCGATGCTAAAACAGAAAGACTGCAGATGACATCTCTAGTGTTGTCACTGTATTTGACTTTCTTACTGCACAGGGTCAACCAACATCCACTCACTATACCTCAGTTACGTGCCCTACACTAGAATTCTGAAATGAGGGACACACTTCCTGTCTCCCAGGACTTCATAGCTCATAGGGGACTGTTTCCTAGGAAACCTGACATTCAGGAGTAAGACACAGGCTGCCTCCCCTACCGGGCAGCAGCCTACATAGTAAATGGTTCACTAGTCTGTGTGATTCAGTTCAAAATCTGTTCCTGACCAACATCAGGAGGCCAGCTGTTCGCTCTCTGCCTTGGAGATTCAGTGAGCCAGAAAACATCCTTTCTATCTGGGGAGTTGGCCAAACCTTGAATCAAAACCTTTGCGACTTCTCAGTCTGCCACCAATTTAAGGAAGTCCCAGAGATGATAAATTCCCAGCTTACAAAACAGATATGCTAGGCATCGAGGGGATTTGCTTTGTCTCACAGATTCCCCAGAGTTGCTTTCAGCAATGAGTGTCCCTTGGGTCTTTAAATTCTGATTCTTTCAATACCAGAGACTCAGTTCCAATGACACCAGAAGATACCTACCCTCTAGAAGTAGGAGAACTTGTGGTGCTTTTGTACTTACCATCTGGGACGGTCCCGTGAGCCCTGGGAACACGGCCCAGACCCTGCAGCAAGCCCTGAAAGCAGGCTTTACATAGCAAATGTCGGCAGGGTAAAAGCCTGGAGCCAGTCTCCTGCAGGTCCTGCCCACATAAGGAGCAGGTTGGTGCCAGAGCCTTCGTCTTTATATCCTTAGAGCGGTACTTCTGGTCAACCAGTGGCTGTCTCCTAAAGCGCAGATCCATTTTTGTGCCCGTATGCAGGACAGGGACTTTTCTGCTGACATTCTCAGGTGAGAAGCAGTGGGTAGACCGAGCAAGCTCTACTCCCTGTAAGCAAAGCATAGAACGGAGTGACAGTTCTTTTGAGAGGAGGAGTTTCCTAGACAGGTCAGAGAAGACTAGGAGAATAAGGCCTCAAAAGTACAGCTCATGTCCCTCCCCAGAGCTAGAGGTGTATACCTTGCCCTTGGGCCCAGAAGAGAAATCCAGCTCCTCTGCATAGAATACAAAACGTGCAGGTGTCTGCCAGGTTGTATGTTTCTAACAAGGTTTGTGCACCCTCAAGTGTCCCAGATTTCCTTAATACTAGGCAGTCTTGATCCGAGTTTAGACTTTAGAAAAGGGTAAGAAATGCATTAGATGCCAAGTTTAGGTCAAGTGCCATATGTACAGTTCTGTCCTCATAACTAACCTTAAAAATAACGATTATGGTACTTCAACAAATTAAATAAAACCATTTATTTGGAACAGGCTGAAGAAATTGAGAGGGGAGGCATAGACCCACAGTAAGTAGCACAGATAAATTCAAATCCAGGTCAGTCTGATTGCAGACTCTACACTCTGGACTACTGACGTGTTCTCAACCTGAGGTCCACACACGCACACATAGATTTTTCAGGTATTTTTTTTTTCTGATAATGGTTTCAAACTATTATTTCATCCTGATGAGAGAGTTCACTAAGGTTTAAAAATTCTGGATCATCTACACATGTACCATGAAAAAATCTGAGGGAGAATGTTGGGTTTATTCTCAGACCACACTGTATTACTTAGATAAATGAGAAGAACAAGAGGTGGACTGCACATAAATGATGGAGTCTTGCCACATGAAGTCTAGCTCACACTGTAGCACACAGCAATAAATCTTTTGTGGAAGTTGCAATAGAGAAAATCGGGAAATTAAGCTATCATCATTGTGGTCTATGTCTGACAAATTAGCCATGATGGTGAGCACCATGTTTAAATTACAGTGGCAGTTCTATCTAACAAAACATCATCTGCATAGGAAATTAATAGTTAACATGTTTGGGCTCTGTAATTTTTTTTTCTAATTGCAAACTATATTTGGTTTTATAATTATATATAAGAGCTAAACCCAAATTCCTGTTGTATCTATTTTTACATTTGTATTTACTTAAAATAAAAATCACTTAATTCAATCTGGGCATCTGTACTATGCAAGTTTGAGGGAAAAAAATTAACTCCAGCGCAAAGTCTTTGGGAATCCAGACCATTAAAGAGCTCACTAAATTTAATGAGAACAATGACATCATGTTTTTATACTTGTAAATCTCTTTAATATCTGGCTTAATTCTCAGCACTCTAGAAGGCTGCAACAGGAGGATCACAAAATTATTTTTATTTTATTTTATTTTTTATGAATTTAGGACTGGGTCCACAGGGTGTACAGGGTCTCACTACATAGATTGGACTATGTAGTGATTCTCCTGTTTTTCAACCTCCCAAGTGCTGGAATTACAGGCACGTACCACCACGCCCAATCTCAATCACCTTCTCAATGTGCCCCGCAGACAGGGCCAGCATGGCTCAATGGGGATCGAACCCCAGCTGCTGCTTTCTGCCTAAGCAGGCGCTGTAGTCTGCTGAGCTATCTGGTCGGCCCAAGAGGTGGTCACAAATTTAAACCTAGCCTGAGTAATATAGTGAGAGCCTGTCATAAAAATAAAACAGAACTCAGGATGTAGGTATTAAGAGGGGCCTGAGTTCCACCCCCGGTACTGAGGTGATGGGGGGCAGGGTTGTACATCCTGCTATGTTGTCCAGGATGGCCTTGAACTTTTGGACCACAGAGTAATCCTCCTGCATCAGTCTCCTGGGTAGCTGGACCTACACGGGGCTTAAATGAGTTTTTAAAAAAAACACTGCAAGTATCTGGTAATAAAGGGTGCAACGATACAATCACTTGTTCCACCAGCTGGATGCCCAAAACACAAGCAGTTCCATACCGCTGCTGTAGCCCCATCAGTGGTAATGTTAACCCAGTAAAAAGATAAACTAACGTGTTGCTATTATTATGAAAACTTTTTTATCTTGTAGACATTCTGAAAGGGCTTCAGGGGAGTTTGCAGGTTAGCTCTGCTGTTTAAGCACTTGCTGGGGCAAGCCCAGACAGGTGCAGGGACTGCAGTTGGATCCCCAGCTCCCCATGACTTACCAGAACTGCCCTTAAGGCAGCCTGAGCCAGCCAAAAACAAAACAAACAAACAAACAAACAAACAAAAACACCTTCTCCACTTAAAAAAATAAAAAAGAAAGGGTTTGAGGAACCTCCATAAAATCTACAGACCACATTCTGAGAGCTGGTGCATTAGAAGTAGACCTCACATTACAAGCCCCAGTGCCACCAAAAAAAGAAAGAAACAAAAACCACCAGTCATGTCAGCCAGCTTTCTGTTCCTAAAATAAACACCTAATAAAGAAGAAAGGTTTATTTGGCTTGTGGTTTTAGAGGTTCCCACTTATCAGGTGGACGCCTTTTAGGCCCTCAATGGGGGTGCCGGGTGGTATAGGGGGGTACATGGCCGAGCAAAACTGCTCACCTCATGGCCAGGAAGGGAAAGAGAGAAAGAAGAAAGGGACAGACCAGGGTCCCACGATCCCCTTCAGAGCACAGCTCTAATAACCAGTAGACCTGTCACAAAAATCTCACATGTTGCAAGGTTTCATCGCCTCCCAAAAGCACATTGCTGGGGCTCAGTCCTTGACTGCAGGCACTTCTGAGGGGAAAGACCAAACTATAGACGCGGATTATTAAATTTTAAAATGTAAGACCTAAGCATGGTGATACATGTCTAATTCAAGCTACTGGGCAGCTGATACAAAAGATAGCACAGCGGTACAAAGTGCTTGCTAGGGCAGAGACCGCAGTTCAATCCCCGGTGCCACATGCCACGCCAGCCCTGCCCCCAGCATGGGCTGAGCTGGCAAAAAAAAAAAAAAAAAAAAAAAAAAAAAAAAGAAAGAAAATTTAGTATTCATTTTAGGAAGAAAAAGTGAGAGAGGAACAGTAAAAAAAAAATGAGAGAATCATCTTTTTTATACTGCGTACCACATAGTTTTTTTTTTTTTTTTTTTTTTTTTTTTGATTTGTTTATTATCTTTTCTTGAATACAATGCTAGGGACACAACCCTAGAGTAGGAATTTGCCTTTGTGGCTCACCACTGTATCTGCCCCTCACTGCCTGGCACTGATGGATACTGCTGGACCATATTGTGTACCCAAAATACATATTTGCTTTTGTTTATTTTTTTTATTTTTGCAGAACCAGCGATTGAACTCAAACCCTTGCACTTGCCAGGGAAGCGCTTATTCCACTGAACTATCTCCTTGGCCCGAAAAGTGGCAGAAGGATTTATTTTGGGGGAGGGCGGGGGGGGGGTGCTGCTCAGGTTGCCTTCAGGTCAGGTCTGGTTTGGCTTGAGGATGAGGGGATCGAACCACAGCATCCTGAGCCTGACTGCTTTGTTTCAGCAGGCACTTAAACCCCTGAGCTAATGGGCAGGCCCCCCAAAATACATATCTGCAAAATAATTAAGTGAAAGAATGACTCTCATTGTTTTCATTACAGGACAAGAAAACTGAGAATTCAAAGAGAATATGCTGATGATTTAATATAGTTCAGCCAGAAAAAAAAAGGAACTAGGAAATGAATCCGAGCTTCTGTGCACTTTCCATTGATTTATTCCTCTGATATTAAAATTAAGACACTGTTTTTTTGTGTGCTACTGAATGAACTTCTCTCAAGGACTACAGTTTGCCGCAATCCCAGTACTTCAGGAGGCTGAGGCAGAGGATCACAAGTTTAAGATCTGCCTGGGCAACTTAGGGAGACCCTGTTTCAAAACAAAATGTTTTAAAATAAAATGAAGGATTGGGAATATAATTCAGTGGTGGAGCACCCCATATTTTATCCCCAATACTGTAATAAACAAGTAAACAACTGACTAAATTCCTCTTTCACACTTTACTATTCTGAGTTTAATAGCAGGGTTTTCCATCCTACCTTTCAACAACATTTTTAGGGATATAACTGCCATCTAGTACAATGAGATTTTTAAAAAGAAAGAAAAAAAAAAATCCAACCTAGCAAAGAAAGACTCCTAAAAGTCCCTAACCCTTAAATTTAGATTGTTTTTATTTTGTGCTAAAGAAAAACTCACTAGTGATTAGGCTTTCTATTTAAATGCCACATATCAAAAACTATGGAAAAAAGCCAACCTGAGTCTAGGGAAGTTGAAATGATGTAGGATGGTATGATTTTTTTTTGTTTTGTTTTGTTTGTGTGGTTTTGTTTTTTGTTTTTTTAAATATAGGGTCTTCATATATAAATCTTTTTTTTTTTTTTTTTTTTTTTTCAGAACCAGGGATTGAACTCAGGCCCTTGCACTTGCCAGGGACGCGCTTATTCTAATGAGCCATTTCCCCAGCCCATCCCATTCAGGTTGGTCTTGAACTCACTATGTAGCCAGGCTGGTCCCTAACTTGTGGCAATCTTCCTGCCTCAGCCTTCCAACTGCTGGGATTACAGGTGTGCACCATCTAGCCAGTTATGGTTTGAAGTATAAATATTTATGTTTTTTTCACAACTTTTAAATGTTGTACTGTTTTCTCTATTGCATGTAATTTTTTTAGAATTCTTTCTAAAATAAGTTTGGATTTTTGAGGTTTTTCTCTAATTCTCACTTACAAAAAAGAAAAAAACAGGGCCGGTGAGATAGCTCAGTGGTCTAAAGTGCCTGCTTAGGCAAAAGCTCAGAGACCACGGTTCGATCCCCAGCACCACATGCCACCCTAACACCACCTC